GTATACATATATCAGAATTCTAATATTCATTGCAGTCTATACTCAGATATGTACCTCTCCCCACACTGGTATACATATATCAGAATCCTAATATTCATTGCAGTCTATACTCAGATATGTACCTCTCCCCACACTAGTATACATATATCAGAATTCTAATATTCATGTTCTGAATTGTTTACAGAAAGCAGTAAAACGAAAAAGTACAGGACCTGCGGTGGGTGGTTCCAAACCTAAACAAAAAGCTGTGGCAAAAGCTACATACTCTGTTAAGCAAAAGGAATCCACACCCAAGAGGAAAACAGCAACTCCAAGCAGGAAAACCCCAGGGGTTCAGTCTCCAAGAGCTGTGACCTCTCCAAGAGCTGTGGCATCTCTAAGAGCTGTGACCTCTCCAAGAGCTGCGGCATCTCCCAGAGCTGTGACATCTCCCAGGGGAATTACTCCTGGCCGGCCTCGTAAATCACCTATAACTGCTGCAACGAGGATGAAGTCACCAGTTGTAATAAATGGAGGAGCCAAAGGGGATACCCCTGTTAAAAAAGGTTGGACATGTAGGATATCCTGACCTCCGCCGACCTCAAGTCGTCAGACACTTTCAAGGTTACTGACATGTGAAGTCTAGAAAACATCAACACTCCTTATCCCTTCTCAAAGTAGACGTCTCCAGAGTATAATATAACATTATAAGAATGTATAAGAAATGGTACTGTTTAACATGAAGTATTCATTGTTTTTACACACTTTCATAACACCAGCATCTGCAGTCTTCTAGTCAACTTTACTAATATTCAACAAAAATTGATATATAATACATGCTTTTTGCTAGTCAAGTTTAAACGTATTTCTTACTTCATCTAAAAGAAGTGTTGATGGTATCTTGGCACCGACATCTACATGTTGTCATATACTCATGCTGCAGACCAGATTCCATATGTTGTGGTGTTTTGGGGGTCTATTGCTACTCTACTACAAGTTTTAACATACCAAGTAACTATCAGCTGCTGGTACTCGGCAGTCTATAACTATATTTCAATGTTGATACATAGAAGTGCTGGGATTCACTTCAAAATCTATGATTCATCATCATTATTTCTCAAACAGATGATAATTGATCCTAAAATAACTAGAGAAGCATTTACCAAAAAGGGTAAACTCTAGTTGATACTTTTAGATACCTTGCTGTAGGCAGAAATGTTTATCAAATGCAGATAATGATAAAAGTCATGTGTAAAATTGTTTGTTAAATCATTCGGAATGAAATTCATCTGTTCGGTATGAATGATATACGCTAAGCATTTGTAAATTTGTTTTCAGGTCTGCACCAAATCAAAGCAACCCTTGAAATCTTTCATGTTAAGGTCAAAAACCATGATCGATCATTGAAATCATGATTGATTAGTCATAGTAGGAGGTAAAATGAATAATCATAATTTAGATTGATTAGTCCGGTAATCCTAGACTAACAAGGACGCGGGGAAATAAAACCGTTTGCCTAGTTTTATATGTCCACAGATTATGTAAAGTGTATGAAATCTACTCGAGCTGAAGGAGCAGACAGATATCATAACCCTGTGATCTGACTTGGTATACTGTACTCATTATATTTTGGCTGTCTTGCCTCTTGAAACAAATTCCTCCCGTTATGAATTCCTCCTGTGATACACATTGATAATGTTAACTTTATGTAAAAGTTCTGCAGCCTGTGTTATATTTTGGTTCAAGGGTAAAATTACAACAGTGATGAACAATCTTTTAAAGAGTATTCATTCTGTTTTCAGCCAAGACAAAGCGCCGAGTGAAGAGAAGGAAAGTTGCCACAGTGGATGTCAGCATGCAAACCTCGCCACCATGACAACCCACCATGTGCATCGTAACATGTAAGGGAGGTAACTGGCTCAGTGAGGAGACCACTTCACCTTTATAAATGGCCCCGTTTATACCTGCGGGAGGAAGACTGGGCCGGTCAGTGTGCGACTGCTGTGGTTTATGTTCCAAAAGTAGAGGGACTAAAACACTGTGTAGATCAGGTGCAGACAAAAGTCTGAAGGACTAAACAGTTCTTGTTGTTAGGTACAACTTTTTCACTGACCAGTTTTATTGTTACAATTGACCAACCAAGAATAAATGTTTTAGCTGAGGAAGTCTTATACTGAATACCGTACACAAACAGTTGTTATTGCTATAAAGGTATCAGTGTATTCTGTCGTAGGGAATTGTTTGCATTGTTACATTGAATAGATCCTTGTTCTTTGTCATAAGGAACTACAATTGTTATTATACTGTAATTTGAATAGATCTGTGGTTTTTCTATCACAAGGAATTGTGTTTGCATTATTACTTTGATAAGATTGATGGTTTTTTATCATAAGGAATTGTGTTTGTTATTTTCCTTGTGTGCTATTAGTAGTTCTAATATTAACAGAATGCCAATAATCCAGGTTTTATTGTCAGGTTCAAGGATCTAAATTGCTTCAAATTTTATACTTAGAAATAGGAAAAGTAAATAATTGATTTCAATATTATAAATTCAAAATAATAAATACTTTCTTGAAGTTTCGTATTATCAAAGGCACTTGTTGAGTTTAAATTTTATGAAATCAACATTGATTTAGCTTATTGGTCCATGGTGCAACATCAGAATTTCCAGCGACAATACAACAGCTTAACTTGTTCAATAATTATGGGGCCATTTAATTTATAAAGTTTGAATTATATCTACTGGAGGGACATAGGGACATGTGAAAGGGACCATTTATAATAGCAGTCTACAACTGTAATGTTGTCTTTTTATTAATTATTAACAAAACCAACAAAGAAATAATGCAATAAATGATGCAGTACTAGTACGGTAAGCTATCTGTGTGATGATGAACAAGGCTTTATTGATGGTTCTATCAATTGTCTATAAATGTTTGAGATCAAGAAATAGTCACAATTCTTTTACATTCAAATCAAATTTTAATGACAAATAAATATCAAGAAGACATATGTTTTTTATTGTCTTTTACTGATGTGCTGGACATCTCAATCTTTTTTACACCAATTTGTTATATTAAACTGCTAAGTTTCAAGAGGACCAGATCAGTTCTGTATTGTTTAAGGCAGATATTGGATCATCCTTCTTCTGTAGAAACAAACCCTGAAGCTGTGCAGGACTACATTTCCTGCCGTGACTCTCTACAGTTTCTGAAAACAATTCTGCTTTTTCTTGAGATTGGTCGGGGTAAAATCTGAGAAACATTTGCTGCATTTGAAAGGGTGTGCTATAATCAATGAGTTCTTTAATGTCAACTCTGCCTGGTCGGATTAAAGCCGGATCCAACCTGAAACATTAATAGGCATGATCAGTGTTATATACATCAAGGAAAATGTAAAACAGCAGAACCTTGAAATAATGTCCCCCTTAATTGCTTAAGTGTTGCCTATTTACAAGACACATTTTCCATTGATCCAGAACAATTCATAGATCCCTACTGATGCCTTGCCAAACCCTTTTATAATGACTAATATAATCATTCCCCACTTTTTCTCCCTCATAAAATGCAAGTGGTGATTGCATGAAGGCCAAACGTTTTCATGATTTCCAGCAGATTGGCGTTATCTCCCATGATTTCCAGCAGATTGGCGTTATCTCCCATGATTTGCTATTGTTGACATGATGTCGTTGCACTGTTGATGTGATGACAGGGGAATCCCCCAATCTTTGCCCTAATGTAAGACAGATATATTTCCTTGACTGGAAGTGTGGATATCTCTGTCAAATGGGGGAGAAAAATATATCTACTGCCAAATTTTGTGTAATACCAAAAGTCCTTTATGGTTGGTAGCTGTATCTAACCCCTGCATAATAACAGAAATCTGTTTGATAAATATGGGCACTATAAACCCAATATGTCTCAAGTTTGTGGTCTGTTATTTAAGGATTGGCTGTCATATTTTTGACATGCATTGGTGTGTAACATATATTGGCTTACCTACATATTTAGCGTGCACCATGTTAAATATGTAGGTAAGCCAATGTATGTTATACACCAATGCATGTCAAAAATATGACAACCAATACTTATATTTACATTTTATGTTGATCAACTTACAGTTCACACAGAAATAAAGATATAATATTAGTCTGAACACGTTTCAACGTCAGGGTAAATCCATACAGAGAACAGCCACCAGTTGACAGTGGAGCAGTGCAATCTCCAACGTTACAGTTATGACGTCATAAGCAAAGCAACGTCATAATAGCCCAATGTATGTTATACGGAAATAACATATATTGGGCCTGGTAGAAACATCTAGGCTCTGTGCAGTGGAAATGTAAATAATCTTAAATAACCCACTTGTCTATGTAATTTGTAGCCTGGTAACCCACTTGTCTATGTAGTTTGTAACCTGGTATCCTGTAGGTAACTCATCTGTCTATGTAGTTTGTGACCTGGTATCCTGTAGGTAACTCATCTGTCTATGTAGTGTGTGACCTGGTATTCCTGTAGGTAACTCATCTGTCTATGTAGTGTGTGACCTGGTATCCTGTAGGTAGCTCACATGTCTATGTAGTGTGTGACCTGGTATCCTGTAGGTAACTCATCTGTCTATGTAGTTTGTGACCTGATATCCTGTAGGTAACTCACCTGTCTATGTAGTTTGTGACCTGGTATCCTGTAGGTAACTCACCTGTCTATGAAGTGTGTGACCTGATATCCTGTAGGTAACTTACCTGTCTATGTAGTTTGTGACCTGGTATCCTGTAGGTAACTTACCTGTCTATGTAGTTTGTGACCTGGTATCCTGAAGGTAACTCACCTGTCTATGTAGTTTGTGGTCATGAAGATGATCCGGGCCTCTGCTGATGCTACACCATCTATAGCATTCAACAGTCCACTGAGAGTAAGCCTGCCCATACCCTGGTACATCACTGGATCTGTGTACATACAAACAATCTGTATTAGCAGAATCCAAGCGCTTCAATTTGAAACTTTGACAGACTGTTTCATAGATTGGTGTAAATCAAATATTGTGTGAAGAGAATGGTTCCCTAATGGCAGTTTATTTTGGATGTGATGAGTAGATGCAGGTCAGTACTTACTCTGGACATCTTTTGATTGGTGAGTATTAATTAGTGGTCAGCACTTTTTCAGCGTTTGAACCTTCTCACTTAGTGGTAGAAACTTATTCAGTGGTCAATAATTATTGTGTGGTCAGTACATATTTAGTGGTCAATAATTGTTGTGTGGTAAGTACACATTTAGTGGTCAATAATTGTTGTGTGATCAGTACACATTTAGTGGTCAATACTTGTTGTGTGGTCAGTACACATTTAGTGGTCAATACTTGTTGTGTGGTCAGTACACATTTAGTGGTCAATACTTGTTGTGTGGTCAGTACACATTTAGTGGTCAATACTTGTTGTGTGGTCAGTACACATTTAGTGGTCAATACTTGTTGTGTGGTCAGTACACATTTAGTGGTCAATACTTGTTGTGTGGTCAGTACACATTTAGTGGTCAATACTTGTTGTGTGGTCAGTACACATTTAGTGGTCAATACTTGTTGTGTGGTCAGTACACATTTAGTGGTCAATACTTGTTGTGTGGTCAGTACACATTTAGTGGTCAATACTTGTTGTGTGGTCAGTACACATTTAGTGGTCAATACTTGTTGTGTGGTCAGTACACATTTAGTGGTCAATACTTGTTGTGTGGTCAGTACACATTTAGTGGTCAATACTTGTTGTGTGGTCAGTACACATTTAGTGGTCAATACTTGTTGTGTGGTCAGTACACATTTAGTGGTCAATACTTGTTGTGTGGTCAGTACACATTTAGTGGTCAATACTTGTTGTGTGGTCAGTACACATTTAGTGGTCAATACTTGTTGTGTGGTCAGTACACATTTAGTGGTCAATACTTGTTGTGTGGTCAGTACACATTTAGTGGTCAATACTTGTTGTGTGGTCAGTACACATTTAGTGGTCAATACTTGTTGTGTGGTCAGTACACATTTAGTGGTCAATACTTGTTGTGTGGTCAGTACACATTTAGTGGTCAATACTTGTTGTGTGGTCAGTACACATTTAGTGGTCAATACTTGTTGTGTGGTCAGTACACATTTAGTGGTCAATACTTGTTGTGTGGTCAGTACACATTTAGTGGTCAATACTTGTTGTGTGATCAGTACACATTTAGTGGTCAATACTTGTTGTGTGGTCAGTACACATTTAGTGGTCAATACTTGTTGTGTGGTCAGTACACATTTAGTGGTCAATACTTGTTGTGTGGTCAGTACACATTTAGTGGTCAATACTTGTTGTGTGGTCAGTACACATTTAGTGGTCAATACTTGTTGTGTGGTCAGTACACATTTAGTGGTCAATACTTGTTGTGTGGTCAGTACACATTTAGTGGTCAATACTTGTTGTGTGGTCAGTACACATTTAGTGGTCAATACTTGTTGTGTGGTCAGTACACATTTAGTGGTCAATACTTGTTGTGTGGTCAGTACACATTTAGTGGTCAATACTTGTTGTGTGGTCAGTACACATTTAGTGGTCAATACTTGTTGTGTGGTCAGTACACATTTAGTGGTCAATACTTGTTGTGTGGTCAGTACACATTTAGTGGTCAATACTTGTTGTGTGGTCAGTACACATTTAGTGGTCAATACTTGTTGTGTGGTCAGTACACATTTAGTGGTCAATACTTGTTGTGTGGTCAGTACACATTTAGTGGTCAATACTTGTTGTGTGGTCAGTACACATTTAGTGGTCAATACTTGTTGTGTGGTCAGTACACATTTAGTGGTCAATACTTGTTGTGTGGTCAGTACACATTTAGTGGTCAATACTTGTTGTGTGGTCAGTACACATTTAGTGGTCAATACTTGTTGTGTGGTCAGTACACATTTAGTGGTCAATACTTGTTGTGTGGTCAGTACACATTTAGTGGTCAATACTTGTTGTGTGGTCAGTACACATTTAGTGGTCAATACTTGTTGTGTGGTCAGTACACATTTAGTGGTCAATACTTGTTGTGTGGTCAGTACACATTTAGTGGTCAATACTTGTTGTGTGATCAGTACACATTTAGTGGTCAATACTTGTTGTGTGGTCAGTACACATTTAGTGGTCAATACTTGTTGTGTGGTCAGTACACATTTAGTGGTCAATACTTGTTGTGTGGTCAGTACACATTTAGTGGTCAATACTTGTTGTGTGGTCAGTACACATTTAGTGGTCAATACTTGTTGTGTGGTCAGTACACATTTAGTGGTCAATACTTGTTGTGTGGTCAGTACACATTTAGTGGTCAATACTTGTTGTGTGGTCAGTACACATTTAGTGGTCAATACTTGTTGTGTGGTCAGTACACATTTAGTGGTCAATACTTGTTGTGTGGTCAGTACACATTTAGTGGTCAATACTTGTTGTGTGGTCAGTACACATTTAGTGGTCAATACTTGTTGTGTGGTCAGTACACATTTAGTGGTCAATACTTGTTGTGTGGTCAGTACACATTTAGTGGTCAATACTTGTTGTGTGGTCAGTACACATTTAGTGGTCAATACTTGTTGTGTGGTCAGTACACATTTAGTGGTCAATACTTGTTGTGTGGTCAGTACACATTTAGTGGTCAATACTTGTTGTGTGGTCAGTACACATTTAGTGGTCAATACTTGTTGTGTGGTCAGTACACATTTAGTGGTCAATACTTGTTGTGTGGTCAGTACACATTTAGTGGTCAATACTTGTTGTGTGGTCAGTACACATTTAGTGGTCAATACTTGTTGTGTGGTCAGTACACATTTAGTGGTCAATACTTGTTGTGTGGTCAGTACACATTTAGTGGTCAATACTTGTTGTGTGGTCAGTACACATTTAGTGGTCAATACTTGTTGTGTGGTCAGTACACATTTAGTGGTCAATACTTGTTGTGTGGTCAGTACACATTTAGTGGTCAATACTTGTTGTGTGGTCAGTACACATTTAGTGGTCAATACTTGTTGTGTGGTCAGTACACATTTAGTGGTCAATACTTGTTGTGTGGTCAGTACACATTTAGTGGTCAATACTTGTTGTGTGATCAGTACACATTTAGTGGTCAATACTTGTTGTGTGGTCAGTACACATTTAGTGGTCAATACTTGTTGTGTGGTCAGTACACATTTAGTGGTCAATACTTGTTGTGTGGTCAGTACACATTTAGTGGTCAATACTTGTTGTGTGGTCAGTACACATTTAGTGGTCAATACTTGTTGTGTGGTCAGTACACATTTAGTGGTCAATACTTGTTGTGTGGTCAGTACACATTTAGTGGTCAATACTTGTTGTGTGGTCAGTACACATTTAGTGGTCAATACTTGTTGTGTGGTCAGTACACATTTAGTGGTCAATACTTGTTGTGTGGTCAGTACACATTTAGTGGTCAATACTTGTTGTGTGGTCAGTACACATTTAGTGGTCAATACTTGTTGTGTGGTCAGTACACATTTAGTGGTCAATACTTGTTGTGTGGTCAGTACACATTTAGTGGTCAATACTTGTTGTGTGGTCAGTACACATTTAGTGGTCAATACTTGTTGTGTGGTCAGTACACATTTAGTGGTCAATACTTGTTGTGTGGTCAGTACACATTTAGTGGTCAATACTTGTTGTGTGGTCAGTACACATTTAGTGGTCAATACTTGTTGTGTGGTCAGTACACATTTAGTGGTCAATACTTGTTGTGTGGTCAGTACACATTTAGTGGTCAATACTTGTTGTGTGGTCAGTACACATTTAGTGGTCAATACTTGTTGTGTGGTCAGTACACATTTAGTGGTCAATACTTGTTGTGTGGTCAGTACACATTTAGTGGTCAATACTTGTTGTGTGGTCAGTACACATTTAGTGGTCAATACTTGTTGTGTGGTCAGTACACATTTAGTGGTCAATACTTGTTGTGTGGTCAGTACTCATTAAGCAGTCAATACTTACTCTCCTGAGCTAAGTCCCTATTTAGGAAAGCAGCATCCACATCCTCTAAAAGGACTATGCTTTGTTCCGGGGCAGTGGTCAGTAGGTGGTTCAGACGGTCATCTGACATTCCTCGCTCACTCAGGTTCATCACACATATACTGAAGTCCAGCTCACCTGGTAATGCATAATCAAAACCTCAGCTCAAAAAAGAAATGTTAGATGTAATATTTCATTTATGATGTTAAGTTATTTTAGAAATGAAAATTTTACTTTTCATAAGGATACGCTAGTAATTTTGCACCTCCTCTGGTTAATAACAAAAAAAGAAAAGGTCTTTTTCTTTTTAAATCTCTTTTCACTGTGCATAATGAGTTTGGATCTCGCTTTGTAAAACATGTATCATAAAAACAGTATTAAAGTAAAACAGTAAAACAAGAGATGACCAGAATCTGAGTTGTTAATACTATAGCTATTTATTACACATCATATCATACCATAATGCCTGAAATACCTGGTAATATGTAAATTTGATTGGTATCTGGGGATGTTTAATTATCTGTAAATTTGTAAAGCAGTATCAGAATTCATGTCTTCACAATTTATTGATACCTGTATTAAAAGTTTGCTGTAGAAATGCTGGTGTTGTTTACCTGCCAAAGCTGTTATGTAGCTACTTTTGCCACAGCCAGGCGGTCCATACAAGAGATAGCCCCGTCTGTAGGGAATGCCACGGTCCATGTACCATTTAGGATTATTTGTAAATTCTTTAATGTCTGTCATTATCCTCTCAGAAACACTTTTATCTAGAACAACTGACCCAATGGGACGTTTCTTCCTGGGGTAGCCAAATGGTCGCCAATCTGCACCCATAGCAGTGTACATGACAGTCCTTCCTTCTGTTTGTTCGAGGGCAAGAATTTTGGCTTCCTCAAGAATACTGAAAAATATATTTCTGTCACGACCAAATGCAGTCAGGGTTACAGATTCCCAGGGTACACCTCTATGCATGTCAAGCATTTGCTTTTCTCTGGTTCGTTCCACACGGATCCATGCTGATTTGTGGACAATGAAGTGAGAACCTGGACTAGGAACAAAGTCAAAGTGCGTACGGATCCGGCCAGTCTCAGATTGAGTAAAAGTGGTTTCTACACTGAGGTGCTGGGTTCGTGTGCTTCGTAATGTGATCCAGTTAAGTAACCAGTCATAACACTTGTCCTTACTAACCACCTCCATACTCATCATGCAGTGTCTCCTGAACATAATCATGCTCACCTGGGTGCCTTTCTTCAACACAGCCGTGGCAAATCCCAGTCCAAACAACCCTGCTCCAGCACCGAAGTAGGGATTGTCCGTAAGGGACGAGGCCATTTCCATCAAACCCATACTTAAAGTTGGCAGTACTCGGCTCACTCAATCATATCTTAAAAATATAGATGAGAAATTAAATGAAATCTACATTCTTTGGTTCAGCTGGTTTAAATAAATTATTCATATAAAATATATATTATTTCTAGAATACTTTGATCGAATATGATACAAGACATCCTTCTGCTCATTACTTTTTTAGGTTATCTTTCAGAAGTTAATGGTTTATTTTGAAATGATTTCCTTCAACATTTTTGTGTGCACAAAGTAATCAAATGTCACATTTGATTTTCATACAAATAAAAAGTTTTGACAAAATATTTCACCGATGGATAATAGGTGAAGTGATATCTAAACTTTGTTTATAAACAACGTTAAGCACACTGCCAAGTTTCCTCTAATCCTTTTATTTCACTTTTTCAACTTGTTGGGTTCAGAAACTTATCACTCAATATCTTCAACTAGATGAAGTAGGTCAGTATACAGGAGAAGAAGTAGGATTGATACAGGACACAGGTACCATTCACAGGGACCTGAGAATTTGTTACAGCTATATTTGGACCTAAACTAAGGTGGTCAGAGTAATTTTATATATTCATATATTTTATATATACTAGTATATGATCATTGGGGTGTCATTTTTACCGAAAGTAGATCTACAGCATGTAAAATTACTCTGAACACCTTAGTTTAGGTCCAAATATAGCTGTCCTGTATCAATCCTACTTCTTCTTCTCCCGTATACTGACCTACTTCATCTAGTTGAAGGTTATGTCGGAGATCTGCGAAGGAAAAGGATGGGGGAGTGAAGTTGTTTAATATTGAGCAGATAGGAGGGCAGCTTTGAAGGAGTCAGTTGTCTTACACTCTACGGTAACAGACGGCAGTTTATTCCAGTCACAGATGGTTCTTCGGAGGTTTTTTGTCTACAGGTAGTTCTGGAATGAAGTGTTTGGTAGGAGTATGAGTGAGAGAATCAGGCCTGTCGTGTTTGGGGTGTAAGAGTGTTCTGCTGGACTGAAAGTTATGGGTAATTTTGTATAACATGGAGAGCCGTGCATCTTCACGTCTGGCCTGAAGACTGCGCCAACCAAGATCTAATAACATGTCACCAACGCTAAAGGTGTTATGAAATTTGTTGGTGACATAGCGTGCAGACCTTCTCTGTACCATTTCTAATTTTTCAATATCACATTTTAGGTGTGGGTCCCAGACAGGAGATGAATACTCTAGAGATGGACGGACGAGTGACTTATAAGCCTGTTCTTTAATGATCCTGCAGCTTATTTTAAAATTTCTTCTCAGGAAGCCCAGGGTCTTATTTGCTTTCCTAGTGATGTTATTTATATGGGACTCCCATTTAAGGTCTTGTTGCAATGTGATTCCTCAGTACTTTGCCTTATCAAAATGTTCAAGTGTGTGATTGTGGAGAGTATAGTTATTAAGGACAGGATTTATTGTTACGGCAGATTGAAAGAACAGAGCGCTTATCTGGGTGAAAGACCATTTTCCATTTTTCTTCCCACGTTTCAAGTTTAAGCAGATCGGATTGGAGGATTGCTGCGTCCTCCTTGTTGACAACAGTCAAGTACACCATAGTGTCGTCTGCGAATAGACGAATAGATGATGAGAGTCCAACAGGGATGTCGTTTATATAATATGAAAAGAGACTTGGTCCAAGGAACGACCTCTGAGGGATTCCCGACTCCATGGCCACTGCGACATACTCAGACTTTCCTCCCTCCAAGACGACAGACTGTGTTGTCACTTAGAAAAGATTTGATCCAGGTGTTGACCTACCTCCTGAACCATAGTGATTCAGCTTGCTTACCAACAAAGAATGGCTGACCTTATCAAAAGCTTTTGAAAATTTGCCATTTTGTACATTTTTTGATACATCATCTATAAATTCAAAGAGCTGAGTTTCGCAAGATCTTGAATGCCGAAAACCGTTTTGGAGGGGGGACATTATATTGTATTCATCTGCATGAGACATTATATGACTGACAACTATATGTTCCAGAGATATATGTCGATTTTCCAATCAGAGGGGACAACTCCTGTGTTTAGGGAATGATTAAACAAAATAGTGAGGATAGGTGATAATTCATCTGATAGTTCCTGGAGAATTTTAGGGCTTATATTGTCTGGACCAGGAGATTTGTTTCTGTTGAGGTTGGATAGTAATTTCCTAATACCCTCATTAGTTATTGTAAGGTCAGTGATGGTAGGATAGTTTTCCTAGGGAAACATTTAAAAAAGTATTTTGTCTCTTTATTTGTATAGGTTGATTTATGAAACATTTTCGTTAGTATATGATAATGTTTAACAATATGAATGTGACATATTCAGTAAATATCGTTTTCTTACAAGTAACATAAAATAACGTTCCGTTTCACGCTGGTACTCAAGGGCGCAGCCATATTGAAATCAAGAGACGTCTAGCGACTGTTAATAACATAAGGGCACGCAACTCCATATTTACGTGAATTTCTCTAGGAATGAAAAGATGAGGTTGAAGTGAATTTGCTTGGCAAAAGTATTTTTGCTACATATTCCAACATATATCCAACATAACGAGTCCTGACCATATAACTCGTGAAAAATAACTGCTACTGATGCTTTTCATTATGTACCTGAATAGACATTGTAATTAAAATCATTAAAGTCATAAAATACAGAGTTTTAAAACCTGGTTCTTCCTGTCAAATTTAAATCTATACTATACAGTAGACGAACTATTAACAAATCACATTTAAATACTCACAAAACAGCATTCACCGGTTGTATCGATTTAACCTGCGTTAACTGATAGCGTTAATTTAATAGGCTGGTGATGTCATTGATTATTAAGATTATTTTATGATCGACTTTCGGATAGAAGTGATAGACCAGGGATGTGTAGTGGACTACAGGGCTATCACTATATCAATGGGCTATCACTATAACAATGGGTTATCACTATAACAATGGGCTATCACAAGAAACAATGGGGTACCACTATAACACTACACATCCCTGGATAGACAAACTATTTATTCATCTCTGTATATAATTTAATTGTTTACCTATAATATTTATATCAAAGCTGCACATATCATAAAATATTTTATATTAAGTCAACTTGTTGAAAGATAAACGAATATAACGCTTAGGCAGACACAGGAATGTGTACTGCACATCCCTGAGCAGACAGTATCAGGGATGGTATTGCCATCACTTGTTACACCAGTTACCTCCCCTCTACTAGTAAACAGAACATTTCAGTCTTTATGTTTTATTTTACAGACTGCTATATCGTTTCTCTTTTTTAAAATGCACAAAATTACCCAAGCTGAGTGTAACGGATCGGGCTTCACACTTTTTGTTTCTCACACATGTCATTACTATTATAATGATACAATATCAATAAAGATATATACCTGTTATTTCGATGGTAGAATATGATTTTCACCTGTCGGCTGATCTAAGTCTCAATTTGTCCGCCGGTGAAAGACGAAATGATAGTGATGCAGGGACGATGTTTATTGAATACTACCCCAAACAATTAATGACGTATGGAAAAAATAATTGCAAACCTGCCGAATTCAGCTCTCGGATGTGTTTCACGGAACAGTTTAGAAGAAAATAAATGAGCACAAAGCAAATAAAAAAAACACCAGAAAATGTGTCAGCTAGTTTATATAAACACGGATATTTCTAACTGAAATGACGCGGCATTCAGAGGCTAAACATTTCGGTCCACTGTAACAGTGTCTCAGTTACCAAGAGCACTACATTAACTAATTAATTTCATTCAGGACTCACAACACCCACACAAAAATGTGTACTATTTTCTGATTAGCGTAATTACTTCATAAGTTTCATTTCTCGGTAGATATAGGGTAGATTGGTTCTCTGGTGAATTGACTGTGGGAGCGTGGGTGTGCTTCTATCCGAAACACACATCTACGATATAATGTTGGTTCTATCCGACAGACACATCTACAATATGTTTTATTAATGGCACCTAATGGACCAGTAACGTTTCTTAGTCAATATTTTTCATTCAGTTTTTTACCCAGCGCGCTTATATTATGTGTCGATGGTATCGTAAAAAGTCAGTAGCGTGGGCGATACATACAGTTTTACTTACCTACATAAAACCTTCCCTTTCAGGTATAGTAGTGTTATCCCCAGCAATCATCAGCTTTGCACTTTTAGCTTATATTTTAAGGTGGGAAAAGGTGATAATTAAACAAATAGATAAGTAGGCCTATAAACTGTGTGCTCGCAATAACAGGACCTGCTTTAATATCATTAACAAGCTCTGTGTAATGCTGTAGGTGAGTCCCCGCCGGCTGACGTGTAATGTTATTGCCCCGCAATTAGATCAGGTTAAAATCTCAAGCGTGATGACTGTTTTGTATTGAACAGCTCCAGATGAGTTTTAGAGAGATTGGACCCGCAACTGACAGCGCCCTGCAAACGTGTAGGGGATAATTCCTACATTCCGTATGTTGCTTTCCGTGTTATTCCGACCACAGCTGGTTGGTCACCTTTTGACTCCATCTGAGTAACTCTACAGGAATATTTCATACCCTATCTATTCATACGGAAGATTCGACTTCAAAATACGTCCTAAACATTCCTATTCGTATCTAAGGGGTATATGGAAAAGACAAGTGATGTTTGGTATCAGATTTATCGTTTGTGCTACTGTTTCCTCTCGGAAGTTAAGCTTGACACTGCGCTATAAGCTATCAGTCGGTTTATGTCGGTAACACTGACGCGGCCCCTGTGCGTGGCTATTTGGCTCAACGCAAGGTGCTATGAAGAAGGACTCTCGGCGCCAGACACTGTCCGCGTGCCATTCTAATGTTTTAAGTATTGGCATATATATGATCAGATATATGTAGGAAAGAATTTGAGGGCAGGGATAACGATCTCGATGTTCTTTTGTGATTGATTGGCATTTAGGGGCGAATCAACATGACGTCTTTTCAGCATCCTGGTCCAGTAGGGCCTTCCCGCCAGATTTCTCGCAATTACCGACAACTTTAATACACTTCTGCGAATGATACCGATCATATCTCCTAAGTCAACATTAACGAGATGATAAGGCCGTTTTCGTTGGTAGTAAGACAGCGGACACGCTTGATTTGACAGAACTTGTTGATCGTGACCCGTGCAATTATACCTCTGCTGTAACTTATCGTTACTTTCTGTAACCTAGTATAAAGTATTGTCACCAAACCTTCTATAACCATAATAACTTGCTTTAGCCAAATATAACTTGCTTTAATTAGTATAGCTTGCTTTAATCAGTATAACTTGCACTAATCAGTATAACTTGCTTTAATTAGTATAACTTGCTTTAATCAGTATAACTTGCACTAAACAGTATAACTTGCTTTAATTATTATAACTTGCTTTAATCAGTATAACTTGCACTAAACAGTATAACTTGCTTTAATTAGTATAACTTGCACTAATCAGTATAGCTTTGCTGTAGCTCTGTATAACTCACTTCAATAAGTATAACTTGCACTAATCAGTATAAATTGCTTTTACTATTATAACTTGCTTTAATCAGTATATCTTGTTTTAACCAGTATAACTTGCGCTATAGCTAATCAGTATGACCTGCTGTAGTTCTATATAAATCACTTTAATCAGTATAACTTGCGCTATAGCTAATCAGTATGACCTGCTGTAGTTCTATATAAATCACTTTAATCAGTATAACTTGCTGTAATCAGTTACCCCCTGTGCTACCGAACTTGTACACTTTTGTTACCGGCGGTACCTATTGTAAATTGCTGTATCCTGTTGTAACGTACTGTATACTTACATCGCAATGTGATAAATCAGAGGTATCAGTTCACTGACAACATCAAAACATACCACACGTTTGAGGTCACGATAGTTTGGTTATCGTACGGATCTCGATTCCGCAGCGTCGCCGTTAATTAGAAGTCGCCCCAAGACCGCCGAGACGGAGACACGGGCGCTGTTTGAAGCTGTGCTCGCTGTGCTGCTCTTTGACGTTCAAGCAAATCCGACGATACTCTACCACTTTATTTACCTTGACAGTCAATAACAACATCTTAACATCACAACCTCATAATGTTCACAGGTTATCGCTCTTCTAACAAGTTGGACTTGTCGGAGACGTAGGAAATGTCGCCTGAAAAATAAGACTGAGACATAGGCCTGATTTGCGTTGATTAGTTAAGTAGCCCAGTAATCTACGTATCTGAAAAGTTTCCTTTTATATAACCTCCCGGCTAAATATATCAACCCCAATCCCATAGACTCGCTTTGGATTAATTCTAAACTTTGATATCTTGGGTTGAAATCACAGGCAAAATCCGTAAAGCACGTGTAATGCGTATATTGGTTTAGATGCTGAGATGGTGCTCAGGTAGCAAGGTTATTTGATAGACATATCACAAGGTGCACATGGCCATTCTACTAAAAATATTCAACAAACATTGAACAAGGTCCCAATGTATCACATTGTGTAGGAAAAAAACGTATACAGAAACCCTATATGTTAGTTGGTTTCTGAAAGTTGAGAACCCGTATCAATTTTGCACCACCAGGAACGACTAGTATGGTATTAATAATGAAACTGATTTTATAATGCCGTTTTGGTTTATATAATGTCGTTTTTTATTTATTTTTAGTTTGGTTTTAATAATGAGATTTTCTGATGCCGTTTTCTGATATCACGTTTCCGAAAACACACGTTTGATAATGTTACATTTTTGTACATCACATCGAATACAGTGATGTCCTTTTATATTTGAATGCTGATAGACAGCATCAAGTCCGATACGTACATACGTGTTTTCACTCTTTAAGTTCTGTAGTGCCGTAGTGGTATTTGATACCGTTAATGATATCACGCATTCAACTATATATATAGGTGATATTTACACTAATGGTAACAAAGCTTCGTTTTAAATGCCTGTTATCACTTCCAATGCGTATTTTCAGCTGTCTCTATTTTGCATTGCAAATATCTTTTATTGCATTTACCTCATGCCATCCTCGGGAGTCTTTGAACACTCTTTAAAATCCTGAAAACGTCGCCACAGACTTCAGTGACACAAATTTGCGGTAAAGTTTAAAAGGAGGTAACTATATGATAAATAGTGTATCAAAACTGTAATATTGCATAAATATGACCTAGGTGAAGTCATGGTCATTTAATTTTAATGTTTTACCTAACCCGCCCACCGTGCGCCCTACCCCATCCTCTAAGAAAAAGGACCCACCGGAAACGATACGATTATGTCATAGACAGTAATACTCATGAAAATAATTTCATTATCATACTTTCTTTCTCGCTAATTACTCACTGTTTCGCATTCATTCACGCAACGAGTTAAACATGCCGTCGTATCGTGGTTCGAATATGTTAATTTGATATTGGTGTGACGGTGAACACGTTTTGTGCTAC